TCAGCAGGATCACACAGCTATCACTGAAATTATTTCTTTTATTGAAGGGCATATTTAAAACACAACATTTGATATGTTTTGTCTTTATCAGTGATATAATTATGATCAATGCCTGCTAGATAATAATGTGTCATTTTACAATCCTTGCAGTCATTCCTTGAGTCATTAACAGTACCAATGCTGCTCATAGCTTTGTCTGCTGCACCTGACAGGATGTCTTTTCCTGAAGAACTCACTTGATGAAAGAGACAGTATTGAACAGGTTACTCAGTGCCTAAGTAAAACAAATATAAATCTAAAAGTAATTTAAAGCTTTTTGTGACAAGATGCAGATACTTTAAAAAGAAACAACTCTTCCGTTTTCACAATGTACAATAAACAGAACACAGCATATGAGAAATAATTAATCTGAGGTATCTGGCATTTGGTCTCATTTACAAGTAAGTTAGAGCCATGTGACCCAATCACACAATAAGACAAGGTTACCCAAACCACGACGTCTCCGGCTGCCGCCGGAGCAGAGCAACCTTAGCACCTGCGAGGGAAATACAATTCCCTGTGTGACCACAGGCGCATTCCCCAAAAAGTGAACTGCTGCAGAAGAAACGTACCCTGCCGAGGTGCTTGCATGCACAAAGCTCCACTGGTTCCATGCCAAGCCCTTGATCAAAGGTGTTTAAGCTGAAGGAAAACTACTGATGTCAACAGCTTTTACTATCAGTTACCACACAAAGTCAGCTCGCCCTGTTCCAAATACCACCTAATGAAATAAGATGATAACTCTGCTATCCAATGGGCTATTCTCTCAGCAAAATATCAGTCAATGTAGTAAAAAAAAAATCAGGTCTAGGTAACTGCTGGAATATTTTTTTATTTTTTAAGAAGATGAGTGTATTGTGACATACTATCTAGACACACAAAGTGCTTATTTATCCTAGTTTAGTGGTCTACTAGTACTTCTTCACCCTTCTTCATCTTATAGAAAATACTGCTATTCACATCCAGTAGATTATTTAAACAATATAAAGTTATGGGTATACATAATTCTTTGCATGATCAGGATGACTCCAAAAAGTTGGAGTCCACACGCTCACATAGTGGCTACTATCATGATCAGCTATGATGCAATATAAAATACCTTAATATTGTAAAGCAGCAGAACAATGATTGATATTTTATGCAATTTATTCTGGATGACAGAGAGAAACCAAAAGTTTTTAAGGTACTGCTGTGCTTTACTTAAAAGTCTAGTGACAAAAATAAACAATTACTTTATGCAATGGTTCGCTGGACATTATGTTCCTCTATTCAACAGCTCTCCAGCAAAAACAAGTATAAATGTCAATGATGTCGATGACTCCCAAATCTTAATGACAATAGCTCAAAACTAAAATGTTTTTAAACAATTGTCTGTGGGTGGAATTTGTGTGATTATGTTCTTAAGAACAGGGCTCTCTACAGCCTCAGAGACTGGTGTATCAGTACAGCATCAGACATATCATGTGTTTGTGCTGATCCAATGGCAAAGTTCTCCCAGGATATGCAGGATTTATCGAGACTTTTATTTTTTCATGATATGTCAAGTAAATTTCCCACCAGAGGGAATCATCTATTCACAATAATATCAAATACACTAAATAAAGGCTATGTACAGTTGTTGGTTTTATTCATGCAGCTCCAGCAGTCCTTTACCAAACCATTTTGTATAGAAAATTGTTTCCTATTCTTCAATACAAAGAAAATACCAAAATAGGCTCAGAAAATAATAAATGTGCTTTCATGGCCACACTGTGACCAGTCTAGAAGCACAGTGACATCATCACCATCCATTAAGGTCAGCTTGTGTAAATTTTTACAAGATTTAATTTGGTTTTCATCCTGTCCACCATATCTAATACGATGAGTAGAAGGCTCTAGGCAAAATTCTTGTTTAGTTTCTATCACCTATTGCTAAAAGCAATTAGCTAAACACATAAGGAAAAAATAATACAATACATTAAGCAATTAGTGTATAATAATTTAAGTTAAAGGAAAACAATTTTTCCAGTGCAACAGGAAGCAGAGTTGCATATATATGATTAATTAATTGTCTTATCCCATCTTCTGAGTGCTTAATTAATGCTGAAAGGTTTAATGTTCCCTTACTTGAGGATCTCTTCATTGTTTTGGCATGTTTTCTGTTTTAATGAAAGTAAAAAGGAAATCCTGCACTAGGAGTCCCCTGGCCTTCTGGCTGGGTGGATGACCTACCTGCTTTGAGAGGCTAGAAGAAAAGCATATGCTGTGATTCCACCTCTGCATCATGCCCATACCTACTGTGAAAGCACCATACATCCACCTGTCCACACACAATCAAGACCAAGAGTCTTTCCCAAAGTGTTGGATCTACTACACATCCATAGGTGAACCACATCACACACAGACACACGCACACATGTCCTGCCTGTGTACCAGCACCTGAGGAGCTCTTGGGAAGGAAGAAGCTGGCTGCAGGTAGCAACCACTGGAGCAGTTCATGAGTATCTGGACAGGAAGCAGCAGTAATTGTTCCTGCAGTGACAGCCCCAATCCTGGTGGCCAGCTTTCCTGTGAGATCCATAGCTCTTCTTTTAACACATGACTGCCCATCAAAAGATGAGGAGGAACCATAAAGCTCTTGGAAAAGAAAATGATGACAAGCAGAAGACTCTGTCAAAGCAACACATCCAATCCATCCTTTGATGTCAATGGCCTTTGAGGGACAAGAGCACCTGATCACAGGCCAGAGAAATCACCAACCAGTGGCTGAACGCCTTGACCTATAAAACCCCAGGATGCTTGTCATGATGCTCTACACAAACAGAAGCAAGTTTCCATCTTTGGGACTCTGAAGTATGATACCAAAAGCAGCAGGTAGACAGGCAGTAACAATACATATAATTCCAATCACAGGGCAGGATACTCTACACATTGCCGAAATTTAAAAAAAAGAACCAAAACAACAAAACAGTAACAGAATAATATACATACATATAGGATCAGTAACATCTTGTTCATGAATTGGCTGGACTTGTCCTAAGACAAGAGGGATTCCTATAAATTGCATGATGCTTCTTCAGTCCTCAGTTACCAACTTATTTATGCTGAACTTTTTTTAAATTGGATTTTTGTTTACAAATTATTATATTATTGTTATCCAAGCAACTTTTAATTAATACTTTTGTCATATCCAAGTAAAACTAATTTCTGCTTAACTTTTTCCTAATGAAATTCTACATCTGCAGAAATTCCTTTTCTTTGTTACAGTATTGATCACGTCTTTTACATTTTTTTTGCTATTAACTATTTGTTTGCAGTATCCCTTCAACAGTAAATAAAGGTCTGATTCAAATAATGTATCTTTGTATTGCACATTACATAGGTAGGCTGTGAAACAAGGAGTTAAAGATTGCATGTGACCAGCTTATTTAAGCAAAATGCAGTCTATATACACAAAATGACATAATTGTGGCACTTTCTATTCCCAAAGAAAAAGATGGGGTTTTACAGAAGCTTTGATATTTCTTTTTTTTTAAAAAAAATATTCATCAATAGTAAGTCATCAATATAGAATAATTTTCGCTCAGCATCAAATGGAATATTCTGTTCTATGAAATCTGGGACATATACTAAGAGGGTTTGTGTTTTAGTTATGTGGGTTTTTTAAGACTTAGCACATTTTGATTAATGCATTAAGTGCCATTATAATCTTGTCAATACTAGGTGCTAATGCTCATAAAATGTGTTAGCTGACAACAGTTAGTCCCTACAGCCATGTTGCCATGAAATGTCACATCATTTTCATTTGTCTACAACAGGTGCAACAGCTTAACTCTTTGGAAATCATGTGTCTGCATCAGTTATACATGATGTGGTGCTTTCCTTGTTAATCCATGTGCTTATCCAGTTCCACCTCCACCTGAATTCATAGCTCAGAGTCCTGGTCAGACGGTATGGTATGTCCATCGAAAACCACAGAAAAGTGAACAGAAAAGAAAACTAATGAGCTCGTCTTCTGCAATCCATTCATTTTTCCTGTACCATTTTCAGTAACTACCAGCAAACAGTGAGATCCTTGCCATGTGTCTTAAACACTATGATGAACAGTTGAATGGATGGCATGCATATACTTCAAATCGTATTGGTTGACAGAGTTGGCCATGTGACTGAAAAAGCAGTAGTGATAGAACCCATTGTATCAGAGGAGTGCTTACTCTGGAATAGTTTCCCGTCACCCCAGTCAATCAGCTGATTGTACTTGGTTTGTATTTT